GTGTGTGTGTGTGTGTGTGTGTGTGTGCGTGTGTGTGTGTGTGTGCGTGTGTGTGTGCATTGTAATGAAGGAGCAGTAATAGACACTAAACATGGGATTGTGCAACGGTTGCAAAGGTTCTGCATAGATCTGGATTCTGCAGATGTAGACGGCGACACAGAATGGAAAAAGGGGAAACTGTATCCTTTCATTCCTTCCAAAATAAAGATACATTTTACAAAGCTGTGCAAATCAGTGCTAAAAATAGGCTCTCTTATTTTGATGTTTGTTCTATTCGTAGCAATGATCACGAAGATCACGATGACCGGGCAAGCAAACTAGTGAATGAGGATGAAGATGTGACGATGTGGTGACCATGAAACAGACAGGCTGCCATAGGCTGAGGGGACAGGTGACATCATTATCATTTGATGAACTGGTGAATTTATATCCATTCTTTTATGTAACAAGAACATTTTGAACGTTTTCAGTTTTTATTAAAAAACCAAAACCAAAAAATGGGCCCTTTATCTGTCACGGCTGCTTTCTGAGTCTCTGAATGTGCTGGGGGAGCATCCAGACGCTTTCACAACAGCAAGCTCAAGAGACAGGAAGCTGGCTGCAGGGAGGAGGGTTCGAGGCCGGTGTGTGAGGCCATCCCAGCACCTTACATGTCATTACCAACAGAGGCCGAACAAGACCAACGGAAAAAGCCAGAGTCTTCATTTTTTGCCCCGATACACAAGTAATCCCACGATGTAACACATTTTTAAATACTAACATGCAGACGCACGCAGACCGGAAGGAACTGAATTCACAACAGTGTCCTTCAGACAGAGGTCAGGGTTAGAGGGCGATGCTGCGAGACATCAGATGCAAAGCAGTTTTAGAAGGTTCTGATGTCACGTGTCAGTGATTTTCAGGACGGGATTTTTTCATAAATTATTATTTTATTCTGATTATTCTTCTGATGAAATGATCCTACGTCTGTGAGAGTGAAGCCAAGACAATCCTGAAGAAGCAGGTTTGGTCTTTTTTAAACTTAAATTCAGTTGTGACTGTTTATTGAAATGTCCTTGCTTCGCCCTGTGAGGAGAAGTTGATTTATGTCGACTTGAGCTCCCAGAACATAAACTCCACAACAGTTGTTGTCTACAAGCTACAAGCAAAGTTAGCCTTGAGACCAGGGCTGATGCTCCTGCCTCAAGTCTTACTTCTGGATTCATATCTGCCTGGATCTTGTGCCCTGCTGACAGTTACAGCTCACACAAAAAGCTGTGAAACTGCAGCTTTCATACATAAGGTTAAAAAATCTATATTGTTCTTATTTTATTCATTTATCATAAGTGTTGTTAGTCTCATGAGGGATTTAGAAACACGGGTGCAGTCACTTCATTTTAATACCAAGAGCGTTTTTTTTTCACCGTTAAATATGGATGAAATCAGCAGAAAACTGTGTGTCAGGTTGCATGATTGAAATATTCTCTTTATTTTGGGCCTTGAGAGGGTAAATCGGAGGTTGTGTTTTTAACCAAACCCAGTTCGTCGGTAAGTTAAATGTATTTATTTGGCACTTTTCACAGATACAAATCACAAAGTGCTTCACAATACAACCAGAAATATAAATAATAATGTAAAACATTAATAGACTATGTGCACGTTAGCATATGCTACTTCCGGTGCGGAAACTCCTGTGGGGAGCTTTGTTTCCGGTGTCCTATGCTTACGGTCCAAAACAAGTTAAGCAAATGGATGAATCAAGCGGCGATTTACATTTCTATAGATGTCTCGGGCATTTACCCAACATATCTGTAAATGATGTTCATCGACTTGTCGATATTTTTTCCCTGCGCCTCAGAGCAAAAGAGAAAATATTCAAATGTTATATTTCTCAGCTGTCCCTCGTGTATCGCGGGTGTTATGTTCTAAAAATAACCAGCGAGAGGTGAAATCAAGGAGCCAATTTTATTTTTGACGGTGCAAAACGTTTGGTGGACATACAGCACTGCACTGCAGAGTCACACTGCTAGCACAGGAGAGACGGAGGAGATCGTCTGCAGCGATCAGGACGCAGGACACAATGTGACGTAAAAAATAAGCAAACTTGCACTAAAAAATCTGAAACAGCGAGGTGAAAGGTGAACTGCGTTATAGCGAGGGACCGCTGTAATTTTGAAGGTAAGTCACAGCATACCCTTCGTACCCTTCCTGACTGACACCCCCATCACCTCTGTGGACTCATTCCGCTTCCTGGGTACCACCATCACCCAGGACCTGAAGTGGGAGCCCACCATCACCTCCGTCATTAAGAAAGCCCAGCAGAGGATGTACTTCCTGAGGCAGCTGAAGAAATTCAACCTGCCAACACGGACGATGATGCAGTTCTACACTGCAATCATCGAGTCCATCCTCACCTCCTCCATCACCGTGTGGTACGCTGGAGCCACTATCAGGGACAAACAGAGACTGCAGCGTGTTGTGCGCTCTGCTGAGAAGGTGATTGGCTGCAGACTCCCATCTCTGCAGGACCTGCACACCTCCAGGACACTGCGGCGTGCAGCTCGGATCTCAGCTGACCCTTCTCACCCTGGACACAGTCTGTTTGACCTGCTCCCCTCAGGCAGGAGGCTCCGGTCCATTCGCACCAGAACCTCTCGCCATAAGAACAGTTTCTTCCCCTCTGCTGTCGGACACATGAACAATAACCACATGACTGTCCCCGCCACTAACACATGACCCTACGCTGTGTTCACTGCATCATTCCATGTTTGGCACTGATCATCACCTGCACTCATGTATATATCTTTCAACGTAGCACTTTTAATTCTTACTCTCATGTATATATCTCATGTATATCTCATGCACCTATCTTTCTTTCTACATAGCACTTTAATTCTTATTGTTTGCACTGAAGCACCGCAGCAATTTCCTAATGTTGTAAACCTCAACATCTGGCAATAAACCCCATTCTGATTCTGATTCTGATTCTGTACATACTAATGTATAGAAACCGTTACCAGCAATCGTTCATTTTTTGTGTGGTTTTCACGGTTTGTTAACATGCTGTGTAGGTGTGTACTTGACGAGCTGATCTCGACATAACGGGGAACATCTGGTTTGACTATTCTTCACCTGTAGTTTGAATGCTGAACATTTGCCTGTTTAAATCATGAGACCAGTCACTATACAGAGATGTGCTTCTGAATGTGGACGATGTGTCTTCTGCTGCAGTGATGCAGTTCTGCTTGTGTTGAGTGATGTAAACAGCTGATCGATCTAAACGCTTTAAACGTCAAAATTGATCATTAGATTTTTTATGACACAGCAGCGGTGAGTGTTCCCACCTTCTGCTCTTTGTAACTTAACGCGATCTTTCCGTTTTCGAGTTTTGGACATGATTGTGGAGGATATATCTTCGCAGTAGCGATTGACCGCAAAGTAAAGCTACCAGAAATGCACAACCCCACATCCGGTCTCAAACCAGGAAGTTAGCATTGTCTCGTGCACATAGTCAATTAAAATCTTGTTTGTATAGAAATGTCTTCAGCTGCTTTTTTAAAGAGTCGATGGAGTCTGTACAGCGTAAAGACAACAGAGGAGACTCCACAGCCTTGGTGCCCGGGACCAACAGTGACCTCTGACCTGACGACCTAAGTGCTCAGCAGGTCAGAGATAAACTGGGGAGCCTCACCGTGCAGAGCTCTAACAGATAAAACTACAATTTTAAAATGAAACCTAAAATTTACTGACAACCAATGAAGAGAAGCCAAAACTGGAGTAATGTGTGAGCTGTTGGTGCCGCAGCGTTCTGTCCTGAAGGTCTGCTGAATAGCAGGTGGGCGGGGCTTCTCTGCTTCCAGTCAGAGATGACCATGACGAGGTCATGTACCCTGTCGCTGACATCCAGAACCACTTTTGTTACTTTGTTTAATATGAGCAATGTAATGTAAATGGATCCCACCTTAAGTTGTGCAGCTGGATTTGTAAAAGTATTTCCGTACTGGGAGGATGAGAGTGTGTTAGTGCTGTAATGTAAGGATAAAGGCCATTAACGCCATTTTTGGACATAAATTTAAAAAAAGGTTTCTTTGTTTTTTCACGTGGTTGTAGTAAACCCTGACTCACCAGTTGTCCTTCATATTAACTGTAACTGTTGTTACAGCGCTACTTTCTTTATTCATGAAAGCGAGTCACCCCAGCTGCAGCTCATCGTTTTCACTCTTTAGTTTGTTGACTGATCAGAAACAGTTCAGTGGATTCAGAGGGACGTAAACACAGCGTGCACGGCTGTGGCTCGCGATCTCACCTTGATGTTTCCTCCTCCAGGTGAATGGCTCACATTGTCCATGGAGCCCACTTTGGACTGAGCCTTTTCCCTAAAGTTCACTTTGTGGGACTCGATCTTCACATCGCCGCCTCCTGCAACACACACATGTACGCAGATGCAAGCTTGTGCAGTCACAGACAGCCTGTAGTGCTGATGTATTGATTCATTGTTGTTGTTTTATGACTGCAAACTCAGAGCACACAGGTTTAGCTCACCAGGCTTGTGCTTAAGGTTGTCCTTGGAGCCCAGCTTTGACGTCACCTTACTGACGTCCACCTTCTTGTTGAGAATCTGCACCTGTTGAATGTCACAAATGTTTCTTCTTTAATCCACAGATTTGTGTAAAAATGCTCGACTGGGGTTGAATAAAAGGACCAATCAGAAAAAAGGAACCTTCTAACGTCCTGATTATACTTTGAGTTACCAGCATCAGGACAAACAGCACGCTGAACAAACCGCATCTTCTAGTTTCTTCGTCCATGTTGTAGAAAAATGTTTTTTTGTGAAATATGTTTGTGCTGAACCCACGACAGAGACTAAAGGGAGGAGCTTGGCACAGCATCATTGCAGGAAACCAGAAACCCCAGATTTCTCTCAGTGATTTTGTTCTTACAGAACCAAGACAGCCAATCAGAGGGCAGAGACTCCTGTTGGGTTGAGTAGGGTTTAGTAGGTTAGTGGGAGGGCGGGACAACACAAGACAACTTTAAGGAAGCGAGCGGGAGTGTGAAGCAGGTTCTGGGGAGGGGCTTGTACCTAAGCTTGGCCAGCATGCCAACAACTACAAAGCTCCATTTTCCAGCCAAGAGCAGCATTTACGTTACGAACATCGTCTTACATTTCTCTTCTTTACACTGTGCTTCTCTTCAGCATTTCATCTGTGGCCTTCCCTTCATTCGAGCCATTTTAATGGGCTCTAAATATCAGACTAACTGGCCGGGACATGTGGGCTCTGGTTGTGGGCCAGACAGTACTTACATTCCCTCCACCAGGAACATGCTTCATATTGTCCTTGGAGCCCAAGCGAGATGTGACGTGGCTGAAGTCCAGCTTTTTGGAGACTATCTGAACCTATATGGACACAGCATAGCAGCAAGAGGGGAGCAGAGAAGAGCGAGGGAAAAGAGGGGAGGAGATGATAGAGGAGAGGTGAGGTAGAACAGAAGCAGAAACGAGAAGAGAAAGTGCAGGGAGGAAGAAGTCACCATCACAGGTAGGGTTAGAAAGGAAAGGATAGAAGGCGGAGCGAGGTTCTCTTTAGCTAAACATAGCCGGTCGTTCAGCATCGCTGCTGTTTAAATAAGATGGAAACAGAGCACCAGGAGAAAAGGACAGCTGAAGGCCCCAAAGAGCACACCGAACCTGCTTTATGAAGCGCACATGCAGCACAGCCTACAGACGTGAACGTCTCGGACCCTCATTAAACTCTTTAAACGGAGACGCTGCCGCACACGTTGGTTAGCTGAACTAAACATACACCAAGAATTAAAACACACATATTATTTACAATACGTCAGGTTAGACTGCTAGACCCAACACACACATTCTGCATCCAAATGAGTTTAGTACGGTGGCCCTGAGAGGTCAAACACACCTTAACCAAACAACAGTAGACAGAAAAATGCAAAAGCTCATGAAACACAGCAGACGTCGAATAAAACACGTGAAAAATAGAAGAAATGCAGAAATAGCTAAAAACTAAATCACAAAGGAAAACAGAAGCGTTTCTGGGGACACGAGAAGTGACAAGCTAACAGGCTAACAGGCTAAAGGTCAACATGTATCTACAGTATTATATGAAACACATCGATAAAACACACCTGCCCCTCCCTCACAGCACCGATGAGTCCTCTGCTTCTATTCAGCATGTTTGAATGTTACTTGTAATGAGTGCAGTTCATTTTGTTTTGTGTCCCAGAAACACTCGTGGTTTGCTTCTGATTTAATTTTAAGCTTTTGCTGCAGTTTTTCCTACAATTGTTGTTTTTTATTCAACTTGTGTTTTTTGGTGTTTTTCTATTTGTTTTGTCACCCTGACCTACAATAAGACGGAGACAAAAGAAGAAGAGCAACAAGCTGAAAAGTTGAAAGGTCCATAGATGACGTCTGTAGCTGTCTGGGTCCAGAACATAGTTTGGTTGCACTGCAGTCTGTGAGCTCAGTGAGCACGTTCCTGGTGAATTTATGCTGTAAACGTCTATTTTTAAAGTCCCACTAAACACAGCATGGTGTTCATGTGTAAATTATGATCAGTGGGTGGACCCACACTGGCCATGCCCATCTTTTATATACAGTCTATGGTAATGATCACACGTACCAATCATGTGCGGGTGACTGTGTCCATGTGTGACTGATCTTTATCGGGACTTCAGTGACTCGGACGCCCGTTAACAGTTAACATTTAAATGAGTTAAGGTCAAAGAATAATTCGTGTGCTTCTGTCACTTTTGTAATGCAATGAACCTGAGAAAAATGCATTTAGACTCCCTGGATGGTGTATGGATCGTAACACGTTTGGAATCGAACGTTTTATTTTTGTCCACAAACTACAGATTTAGACTGGGAGAGCAGCGGCTTGCTTCAAACAGCTTCTCTGCATTGTGTTAACTCACAAGCTGCTTCAAACCCCAGGCCAGGGTTAATTATCTTGGTTAATTAATGAGCAGAGGGTTCAAATTTAATTACAAATTGACCATAAATAATCCGATAACTAATTTCCCCACAGACGCGTCTGATGCCCGTGTTGGGAGAAACTGAGAGAACAGGAGGCGTGTGCAATTTCAAGAGCCTCCAGTATACTGGCTAGCCTGCTCTTGTGCTCTCACTGGGTCGAGTTATTAAACAAACAACAGAAATGAGAAGCAGAGAAAAGCAACCAGAAAATATATCAACAGAAAAGAGGGTCATGGTGGGAGGATGGAGAGGGAACTCACTTTGCCCTGGCTGCTTTCTTTGGAGGTGAAACCCCTGCTCTGAGAGGAAGGAGGCACCTGGGGAGACAAGTCCACGCAGGGTCAACAACAACACCTCGTTAAAAAACACAGGAGGACGAGGTCAGAGTGCAGAGATTGTTTGGAAGCACAGCGGTGAAGGTAAGGAGTGAGGGGACAAAAGAAGGAGGGGAGCGAGGAAGAGTGGGGAGCGCATGCACAAGCAGAACCCGATCAACCCGATCGACTCCACAGTACTCAGTGCTCTGCTGTCTCATTTACACCACCGGACTGTGAAACCAGGGCAACAACAGAACCAATGAATGAAATGGCATTTTTAAAATGATCATTTAAGGTTAATTTTCTGTGTTACTGCAAATTAATCAGCTTTTGTCCATCAAGTAAATGTTAGACTTCCTGTAGCAACGACCGCCTGATCTCATATCTTAGCTGTTATTTTGTTGACATTCACAGAAAACTACACGAGACCAGTGTCGTAAACCTTTTCAACATCCATCCTCTTTCTAAAGAGCCTTGATGGAAGTGTGTGTCTACAATGACAGTAGATGTACATGCAGAGGAAATCCCACGCAAAACGACAAACACAGTGAAAAAGAGAAGAAGCAGAACTATGGAGACCATTTTACTTCAGTGAGTGAGCTGATAGGCTTTAGTGGGTTGGACAGGTAGGAACCCACAAGAGGTCAGCGTCAGACGTGAAATCAGAGTTGCACAGTCCACTTCCTGTTAGTCCATGTGCAGTCGGTGTCAGAGAGCACATGCCACACTCATACAGCGGTGAAGACCTACCTTCCCTCCTCCGGGCTGGTGCTTCATGTTGTCCGTAGAGCCGATCTTGGAGCGGACGTTGCGGACGTCGGGAGCTGTGGCGGGGCGAGCTGTGCTCCGGGAAGCGGTGGTCGCTGTGGTTGAAGAGGCGGCCCGCGGGGCGCGGGGCACCGGGGGCTTCTTCTCTGGCCCCGTGCCTGCGGCGGAGGATGCCGTTGCTGGTTTGGCTGCTGTGGTTCGTGTGCGGGAGGCAGTGGTGGTGGTGGTGGAGGCAGTGCTGCGGGTGGTGGTGGTCTTAGGCTTGCTTGAGTCAGCTAAAGGGAGAAAATAATTATACAGAGCTTTATAGATCTCTCTGCCAAACTGGAGTTATGATCGCAGCTTTTTCAAACCAGACTTAGAAAAAAAAAAGAGGGTAAAACAGCAAAATAAAATATGGTGGGCATGCATATCCAAGGCAGGAGCCCCCGGACACACAAACCACTCCACCACGTTAGGTAGCGATTCAGTCTGTGGTGGTGAAGAGAGAGCTGAGAGTGAAAGCAAAGCTCCCACTTTACCTGTCGATCTACGGCCCTACCCTCACCTACGGTCACCAGCTGTGGGTAGTGACCGGAAGGATGAGATCGCGGGTACTCTCCCTTACAGATGGGTGAGAGGGTGAGAAGTTCAACCATCTGGGAGGGCTCAACTGGAAAGGAGCCAGTTGAGGTGGTTCGAGCATCTGACCCTGAATTTCTGTGCAGCAGTGTATAAATACTGCTACAAGCCGACTTCCTGTCTTTATTGTAAGCTAGGATAATCACCTCTGGCTTTATATTTAATGCACAGCTCTTAATGTAAAGCTCTTGGGTATTTCCAATGATGTTAAACTCTCCATTAAGCATCTTAAAGACGCGTTTTCAGGAAGACTAAGAGTTTCGACATTATTGCTCCGCGTCTTCTCAAAGACGCATGAGGGCTAATAACGAACACACAACGCTGCCCGTTATCAACCTTAGCATAAAAACCTAAAATTAACATTACAGAAAAACATACAGCGGTGCAAAAACCCCGTCTGCATCCTTTTCTCTGGTACAGAGGCACCACACGTATCTTTGAAGTGAGGGAGACACGCTTTTAAAGGGGAGGTATTCAAACACCATTGATTTTCAGTGCTGTAATCCTCTCTGAGTAAAGACACTTTAGCTCCAGCATCCTAAGCCAGCCTGCACTGATGCAGTGCAACATTTGCACCAATTCAAATCTGTCAGTTCACACACTTTGGGCTGGACTGTATGCAAACTCTTCTTTCAGAGCGCTGAGGCATCCTGGACCACGTGTCCTGCTGTCAGTCCTCCCCGAGAGCCTGTCGGATATCTCCGGCTCCCGTTAAGACATATTTAACGGAGGAAATCCTCCCCCTCGCCTTCATGTTTCTAAAGAGTAATTTGACTTTCTGCATGAACCCTGGCAGCTTAGACAAGCTGAGGCTGCATCAGCAAAGAGCTGCAAACTCCTGTCAACAGCAAGGGGACAGTAATCCACAGGCTGCTGCGGTGAAGGTTTTTAACTCTCCAGAGCCTTTCAGCAGCAAAGCCTCCCTCTGCATAAGCCTGCCCAGCATTGTCACGGTCGGACACAATGAGTGCGTTCTGGTGCCGCAGTCCTGCTGACAGCTCTCCTGGTGCCAAAACAAACTACTCTGTCAACAGCAGGAGAAAAGCCACAAACGCACAGAAGAGACAGACTGAGGCGAAGTGAGGAGAGGATTACAGAGAAGAAGAAACAGGAGAGAAACATATGCAAAGAGACGGCACAGGGGGCACTGCGGAGTAGAGGTCTGCGCGGGAATGTTTTTTTAGTCCCGCTCCCGCAAGGTTTTGTACCGCACCCGACCGCTCCCGCTGTATATTCAGTCTGTGTTCACCCGCTGCCCGCTTAGAATAATTTTCTACCCGACCCGACCGTTCCCGCTAAATTTAGATCTGGTTTCCAAAATCTCACATTTAAATGGGTACCACCAAAAAATAGAGATAACAGATAAAACTGCAGGTTGTGCAATGATTGTATTTATTTTTCTTAAACAAGATGCATTTATCTGTCAACATGCAACATTTATCTTTTAACATGGAAAACGTGTTGCAAAAATAAAATAAATAAAAACGAATACAGCATTGTGGCCTACTTGTTATTTTTATGTAAAATACAAACGTATCTCACAGACATCGAATTTTCCTATTCTTGCTGCTGTGTCGACCAAATGTTGGGCCAGCTGTGTGAAGCCTTTTCCAGAGATGGTATCATACGGTCGAATGTCTTGGCAAACAAACTGAACACATTTGTCTCTGGTTTCTTTTTTAAACTTCTCTGGCACCAGCAAAGATTTAGTAAATGCCAGTTTTGTTTGCCCCTTTGTGATGGGACATGAGTGCCGCCTTAAACCTGAGGTTCCAGTCTTGTGACTGCAAAAGGGTAAAACTTTGAGGCATTTATCGCATTGTACAAAGGGTAATTTTTTTCCATTTGCGTCTATGACGCATGAAAAAGACTCCCATACATCAGACTTGCCTGATGTGGGTTTCCTTAAAGTAAACTGACCGTTGTCTAATCCCAGCTGAACGTCCTTCAAGGAAATTGCATCTTCAGTTTGCTCTGCCATGTTGGTAAAGCGCGCTCTGATGCAGGTGATGCGCGCACAGAGTCACAGACTGTGCAAGTAAAATGCACGTGCAAAAAGCACTGATCCATGCGCTCAGTGCGTGTAACAGGCGTGAGCACTGGCTGTACCAGTGCTCAATTAGAATGAGGAAATCACAGATATGCTGTTCCGAAAAAATGTCGGGCACGCTATATTTTCAGACCGCGCGCTCCCGTTCAAATTACACCGAGTTACCGACCGCTACCGCATTTTATTTGGAAATTTATTCCTGCGCCGCAAGAAATCTGGTCGGGTCCCGCGGCTCCCGCGGGACAGCCGCGGGAATGCAGACCTCTACTGCGGAGTACCACGGGATCCTTTCCCTCATCACATCAATACCAACTGCAATACAACTGTCTGTATCTACACTGGACTGTGCAGCACTTTAACCAAAGTATTGTCCCATCTTGAGAACAAAACATGCACCACAGTGTCGACCCCGAGCGGACGAGCTGTACACAGCGGCTTCAGTACACCTGTTCAACAGCTTGTTAATGCAGATAACTAACTGAAAGCACTTAGCCAAGCAGGTATGGTCAAGATGACCAGCTGAAGTTTAAACTGAGAATCAGAATGTGGAGAAAAATGATCGACTGTGACCTTGAGCCTGGCTGTCGGTGCCAGACGGGTTGGCCTTTATAGAGACCGGTCTGAAAAATGCAGAAGACCACACCTCATATCAGCAACGAACACAAAACAGGCTACAGTTCACACGAGCTCACAAACAGACTGTACAACAACCTGGTGTGATGAGCCTGAGAAGGGTCAGGAAGGATTAAACTACAGGTGTACACAGCATCAAAGCTCGGATCCATACGTATCAGCGGTTCACAGCTGAAGCACATTCTGCTCTTAGCGTTAGCTTTCTGAGCTGGATGTGGAGCAGGAGATCTGTATGATGCTGTCGTCTAAAAAAGGACAAAGCCCTCTGAGGAGCGTTTCCAGCTGAACCTTGTTGAATCTGTGCCATAAAGAGTTAAAGCAGTGCTGTAACCCAAACAGAACCCGAGCCCGCACTCGCTGCACTCAGCTGATTAGTGGGCGTGTTTTACTCGTCTGTGCCACGTGTCAGAAGACTCGGTAGCTCTAAGGTGGCACAGGCACAGGTACACTGCACACATATATATAAGTGTGGCCACGGATAGTTCTGCTCAACCCCAGCACACCTGAGTCCTCATGCTTCATTTCCTCCAACAGTCCTAACTGCATGCACTTCATTGTGACTCCGTCTTAGTCTATTTTTACCTTCTTTAGCTTTAATACTTGTTTTGTTTGTTTACCATATGTTTTTGTTGCACTAATGTAAGGTGACCTTGAGGGTCTTTAAAGGTGCCTATAAATAAACTGTATTATTATTATTATTATTATTATTATTAAATGTATTATCTGCAAGTCTTAGAATGACCGAGCCACAAACATGTGCTTACACATGTACTAACAAAGGAAAATAAAGAGACTACACGCAGGCGTCTGAGCCAGCCCGAGAGAATATAACTAATACTCTGAGCGAGGCCTAATGAAACTGCTCTGCTCGTACTAACGACAAAGTCAAAGTCTAATAAGGTCGGACACTGTAGTGGTTTCTACCTGTCGAAGTCCTCGGGGCGCTGGGTTTCTTCTCCTCTCCTGGTTTGCTGTCTGTCTTAGAGGCTAAAAAGAAAATGTTTAAACCTTTGTCAGTCGTGTAATTTATCAACACAATAAATAAACCGAGTGTAAAGAAAGCCACACACATACCCAGAGGCTTTCTGGCTGCAGCAGTGGTAGTGGTGCGAGTAGATCCTGCCGTGCGCACTGGTGCAGTGGTTTTACTGGCTGCTGTGGCAGCAGACGTGTTTCTGCTGGCTGAACCTGTTTGATTTGAGGCAGCAGTGCTGGACTTTGTCACTAGGGGGCGCTTCTCTGTTGTTGTCTGAAAAGAAAGAGAAAAATAAATCTGGGCGAGGTAATATGTCATCCAGGAAGAGAGAGAAGAAACGAATGAATATGGGCAAGCATCTGCGGAGGGATATCAAATCAACAAAACAGGCAGCAGCAAATTAGGTCACAAAGCATCTTCAGTGTGCCTGGATGCTGTGATCAGTCCAGGCAAATGTTCGCTGGCCTCACTGAGATATTCAGGTCAAAGATTTTGCCCCAATTGGCGGAAGATATGGACCCAAAGCCCTCAACGATGGTTACACATTTCACTCAGCAGCGTGTTTGCCTCTTGTAACCCTCAGAGCAGGCTAACCTTCACATTCAGCCGAGCCGTCCTGCAACATGAGTCACCCTGCACCCCTGCAGCTCCATCAGGGCTGTTAATATGTTGTTGGTGCAACAGTGTTTACCCTTAAGGAGCTCAGCAGAAGAGGCTGACAGAAGGTTGACTGCTCTTTTTGGGGAACAAGGCATTAAAGTGGACAAGCCAATTAATAAATGGAACTTTTTATTCTATTTTATTGCCAACTCACAACAACATTTGACCCGAGGTGCTTTATATTGTAAGGTAAAGTCCCTACAATAATACAAAAGGCCAACAATCATATGACCCCCTATGAACAAGCACTTGGTGACAGTGGGAAGGAAAAACTCCCTTTTAACAGGAAGAACCCTCCAGCAGTCCCAGGCTCAGGGAGGGGCGGGGCCATCTGCCATGAAAGGTTAGTGTCACAGCTTCGTCCTGACATAATGTCAGTTCCATATACAGACAACCTAATTCTTATAACTGCATGTTTGCAGCTCCTGCGGTGGATAAAAACCAATATCTGCATAGTTATTATAAAAACCACTCGTGTGTTTGTCTGAATTCAACACATTTTCATATAACACAGTAACACACTCCTGTTCATTCAAACGAGAGGCACAGCTAAATGTTTCAGCGTGTTTAACCCTCTTGGCTTTTTCCTGCATTTCCAGCTCACAAACTTTACATGCATTTACATTTTCACCGTCTCTGTGAGCCTGTGCACGCAAACAGACCAGATGGCAAAGATTCATGACCACGGGGGAAACAGACGGTTGTTAGAAACTCCGCTGATCCTAACTTTAGTTAGAAAAAGCCGAAGAAGTAAGAAATCTGTTGTCCTGATCGAAGTGGATGAGGTTTAATAAAATCACTTCAAAACATAAGAAGGACTCATTGTGATGACGTCAATCGTGCAGCTCTGTGTAACTGAGCAGGCTGCTGCCGCTGACCGCTTCCTGTTAGCTAAAACTTACCTTGGGTTTAAGCTCACGTGTCGTGCTGGTGGAGGATGATGTGAGGCGGCTGGCAGAAGTGGTGGAGGGTCGCTTAGACCCTGCAGCTGTTGTGGAAGGTGCTTTAGCTGTGGTTGTTTTTTTGTCTGTAGTGTGGGGGGTGGAGGTGGCGACAGAGGATACGGGACGCTTAGTCAGGCCTGGAGCAGGACCAGCAGCACCTGCAGTGCTCGGGCGCATTTTGGCAGCTGCGCTTGGTTTGGTTGCCCCGGCAGCAGGCTGCGATGCAGGACCGACACGCAGGCGATGGATGGATGATGGATGGAGGGTAAAACCAAGGAAACCAAGGAAAATGGATAAAATTAACAAAAATGGGTGGTAACAGGAGCAGGGTCAAGCAGCACAAGCAGCAATTACATCACAAAAAGTGAGAACAAAAAACCAGAAAACAAAAACAACTAACACTTAGCATTCACTCTGTCGCTTCAAGGCAGTAAACAAACACAACCAGGACAGACGCTTAGGCAGCATGCACGCTCGGTTTTTAAAATGCGCTCACGCCATCCTGTCCACTCCCACGCTGCGCGTCTCAGATGCTTTCAGCCATCATGTCCGTATTCAGCCTGATATTTAATAGCAGTTTGCATGATTTATGATGTAAGATGCAAACTGCCGTGAAATCGTACACTGCTATCATTTCGACTTGTTACCGCATTACTGTAGCCAACATTTGGGTATTACATTTGAAATTCCACCCTGAGTGGGGCGTTACCCTCGCTGTGATACTAAAACAGTGTTTTATCAGAATGATCCTAAGCATACGTCAGGAGCAACATTTCACTCTTACACCTTCCACTGATCCCTACCTTGGTCTTCCTGTCTGCCAGCTCTTTGCTTGGTGTTGAAATGCTTCCATTGGCTGAGGGTTTGGTAGGTTTCTTCGCCTTGTCTCCGTCTGCCTTTGCAGCCTTGTCCTTCTTCTCGTCTTTCTTCTCAACCGTCTTTTTGTCTTCCTGGGTTTTGTCCGGCTTCTCTTCCTTCTGTGTTGTTTTTTCCACCGGCTTCTCAGACGGCTTCGCCGCCTCACCGTCTTTCTCCGTCTTCTTGGCCTCGCCTGCGTCAGCCTTTTCTGTCTTGGCGTCTTCCAGCTCCGCTGTCGCCTTTGTCTCCGTGTCGGCCTTCTTCTCTGTCTGGTCACAGCTGGTCTCGAGCTTGACGGATGTCGGCTGTTGCTCTGGGGTCTTTTCCACTTTGTTGATGTGCTGCTCTTTGCCGTCCTTCATTTCTGTGATCTCGGGCTTCTCTGTGGTCTTGTTCTCTGCTTTGTCCTCCACTTTGGACACTTTGGACTTGTCATTTTGTGCAATTTTGTCCACATTCTGTGCTTTCTCGACGTCAGCCTCCAGCTTTTCTGTAGCCTCCACTTTTTCTTCTTTCTCTGTCTTCTCTGCTTTATTTATCTCTGATTTGTCTGACAATTCTTCTGCTTTCACTTCATCCTCTTTCTCAGGCTTTTGTTGCACAGGCGGCACTTTCTCTGTTTCCATCTCTTTTTCAGGCTCCCTTTGTTTTTCATCCACCTTTTCTATCAGATTTTCTGCCTCCTTTTGATTTCTATCCACCTTCTCTTCCCGTTTCTCTGCCTCCTTCATTTTGTCTTTTTCTCCCTCTTCCTCCACCTTAACCGGACTCTCACTGCTCGTGAACTCAACCTTTACACTCTTCTGCTCGATTTTATCCACAGGGTCAAACAGGTCCACCTTCTTCACACTCTCCTCCTTCTTCTCCTCCTTCTTCTTCTCCTCCTTCTTCTCCTCCTTCTTCTCTGTCATTTCTGATTTTACTGAAAAGAAAAATGACAAAAATGTTTTTTTAAATGAAATGAGAGTCAATAATAGCAGAGTTCATTCAGACAGTTACGCAGTCCCACAAGAACAAGCTCCGGCTCAGGACAGAAACCAGGAATTCACCACAGACTTCAGGCTCATGTAAATCTGTCCACAGCGCATAAAGAGAACCAACAAACATCTCTGCTGTTGGTTCAAAGCTGCAGCTTCTCACTGAATCCTCCGGCCACACCGACACAGAGATCACAGTAAATACTGTAGAACAAAAGAAATCTGTTTTTAACTTTCGTGCTGGTTTACTTTTACTGGACAAACTGGACGAAAGCACAAAAATATGTGATTTGATTCCACGACACAAGCTCTGAGGGAAGTGAGCCTCTGACACAAGTTAAAATAAAAACTGAACTGCAGCTTTTAAGTTCACTGGTGAGGAAGGTACTGTGTTTATGAACAAAACATGAAAAGAGAAGCAAACATGCATCTGAAAACCGACTTCACCGAGCAGTAAAAACAAACTCATTCACGGGTTTAGATTTTTGAAGCACTCTGTAGTTGGTTTTTCAGTCTCTCTGTATTTCTCCGTCTTCAGCTTCCCTGTCTGTTTATGTGTGTTTCACGGGTTATAGTAACTTCCTGTTTTATTTTGACAGTAGCCTTTAATTGTGCATTCTGTTTCACTTCCTGTCTTTGCTCTTTTCCTGCCCTTGTGATTGTCTCGTCTGTTACTCTGCTCTGTGCTCTCCAACTATCATTGTGTCAGCTTATCCAACCTGTCCTGCGTTTCCCTCCTATCAGCTTCCAGTGGATTCACCTTTAAAGGGAATTTTCATTGGGAAGTGACTTTTTCAAAAAGCTAATATATGTAAAATTTCCAGTTTTACACCTTCCCACCTGTTGTGCCAGTCCTTCACAGTCCACCACCAGCAAATGAACATTTTGAAAAGGTTCATAAACGGAAGCTGTTTGGTTTTTGTTTTAAAGACAGATCTCTTTTCTAAGTTTGGTTAAAAAACAAAATCTTAGGTCTGTTTGTTTGATATGTTATTTTTGTTTAAGCGTTCGACAGACAAAATGAACCCCAGCCAAAATTTAAAGGCAACAGGAAATCTTATGAACTGAAAACTTTCAAACTGAACTTGTGAACGTGGAGCAGACTGCAGATCTGGAGATGTTGCTTTCCCTCACGCTCACTCGCTACAATGAAACATGTGCATCATTTGTCCTCCAGTGATGATGACCCAACAGTGGGGTGAACTGAGTCCCATCAGAGCCGCTCACTCTGTGTCCCAGCTAAGGAGCTGGATCCCTTCATGTCCACATTTATGAAATGAACATGACATAACTGATTCAGTCCTGCCCTCCAACCTCCTGTGGAGGACAGAAGCGATGCTGTGCAGACGTCACGATCCATTAAAGAATATTGCATATTATATCAGTGCCCTGTACTCACAAAATGACTGTTTAATTATTATTTTATATGCTCACAATCAGTGTTGACACCAGAAAGGAATGAAGCTTGATATAAAATGTGTTTTCTCATGTAAATGCATTAATCCTTTAACAGGCCACAGTCATCCATGAGCAGCATAAAGAGCAGCCGTCATGCTGAAGCCATTGTGACTGAATTTCAGCCACAGATGGTTGTCAGATGGAGCGCGCTTGTGTTTTATAGGCAATTCATGAAGAAATGTCACATCATTTAGGCTAATGGGGAGATAATGAGTCATCTTGATTATTCAGGAGCCATAAGTAGCTCATTTGTCAGCATGTAGAGACCTGAGTGTGGTGGGACTAGGCCTGATCTGTGTCTATCTCTGACTAGAACAGGAGCTGGCACAGAGTAAGGTCACCAGTGGGATTTTATGGGACAGCCAAGCGGCAGACAGTTGGCCTACAGAGACGATGGGTTTACAGGGGGAGGAGCTTGTTTCAGACAGGATGAAACGAGGTTGCACTGACACCCAGGAAAGGAAACATAAGGAATATATTAAACTGGGGCTACGTCCACACGTACACGGGTATTTTTGAAAACGGAGATTTTCCGTTTTAAAAAATAATCCCGTCCACACGTAAAGGCAGAAATGAAGGAAAACGCTGCTGGGAACATGCCAAAGCAGCAGGTGGCGCTAGATTCCTAACCGTGCAGAAATGTTGGCCAATCAGAAGTCTAGAAGCCTCGGTGGGAAATAGTAAACAAAGCTGGGGCATAGAAGCAGAACAGAGTCGTATGTGTGGAGGGACAGTAACTGTGTGTATATGTAAGCATTTAAACACTGCAGAGAGTAGAATTAACAGTATTGTAGAAATTCATTTCACCGAAACAATAACGTGGCGCACAGTGTGACGTCAAAAAAGGCGCACATCTTTGACGCTGCGTATTCTCCGTTTTCTCCGTTTTCCTCGTCCACACGTAAATGCAAAAACGGAGTTTTCAAAAATATCCACCCTGGCAGGCGTTTTTAAAAATCTCCGTTTTCAGTGACCAAAAACGCCGTTTACGTGTGGACGAAAGGTGCAAACGCATAGAAAAATCTGCGTTTTCAAAAATACCCGGGTACGTGTGGACGTAGTCTGGGAATCATGCAAAGCTAGGCGATGTAATCTAGTGGAGTCCAAGAAAGAGTTTTGGTGCCGGAAAAGCAAAATAGTCTCCTCAAAAAAAGGGAAAACCCCAAAATACGGACTTAAATTAAGGACACATAGTGCACTCAACAAACACAGGCTGTTCAGCTTTGGGGTGAACAGCCTGACAGGGAAAGTTCACACGACACGCAACTACTCAGGCCTGGGACTGCACACAGCAGAGCCAGTGAACATAAAGAGGTGATTATACACAACTGAAAGCTGAGCTATGATAACAAGAGAAGAACAAACCAAAGTCTATTTTCTATACAGCAAACAACGAGCAACTCAGGAGATCAACCCGAGCCCCCAATTAGAGCAGAAATGTGATCCGTCTCACAGCTGTGGTGAAAATGGCTTCATTTAATCAGCCAGCAGGAGGTGACTCCCAGCCCACGCTCCCACAGCCCACTGTGTGAGACTCTCCCACAGGAGGCCTCAGTCGATTTCATTTATTTCTGCTGATTGTGCCATAGTTAGTCACTATTTCACTGTTGTCACCACAGCAGACAGAACACTGCTGGATACAAATGACTGTAGGCACAGACAGAGGTGCTGACAGGGCACAGGAAAGCATGGTTGTAGGATTTCAGTCTACTTCAGTACCCGAAGTGTTCTCGTTCTTTTCTCTGCTCGCGCAGACTGTTGTTGTGATTTAGCTCGATAAAACTGAACTGACCTGAAAAATGAGGAAAAACAAACCAAAACAAAAAAAACAACGGTAACGGGGCGGCCATTTTGGCTCCTTTAACTGCTGTGCTTGTTTCGGTTTCACAGATGCGTGCTGTATGGTAGGACGCTGCATTTATTAGCAGGTTGTTGCAAGTGTATGAACCACGCCTCGGGACAAGAGAACAATGAGCATCTGGGTGCAGTGAGCCAATTTATCTGAAGGTTTCATTAACATAATGATAACACTTATAGCTCATTAAGAGCCGTTAAGCTTAGACTCTCCTGAAAGGAACTGACTCGACTCAAACCTTTTTCCTCTGGCCTTATTAATATGATAAAATATGCCCACTCCAGTCTCTTAAAACGAGTCAGTGTCTGAATTTCAAAGAGAAGAGTAAAAACAGAAACGTCTGACACGTGGAAAGCACTAACTGGGATTTATCTGCATTTTTATGCTCAAATTGCCTTACTGGGAAAATTTCCACCGGGCTCTTTGGACTTTGGATACTGACCTAACATGCACGGTTCATGAAGGTTCATGAAGGTTCATGAAGGTTTCTTACCTTCAGATGTTAAAGATAAGACGCTTTCGATTTTACACTCCGTAATCAATCTTTAGCCAATGAATCGCTCAGGATGAAAATGTGTTAATAACGAGGCTTCAGCCATTAATAAACGATTCAGGATTAATGTGTAAAGCCGTCCTTTTGCTCCTCAAGTGGATTATGTAAATCAGCTCTTTCAGATGCCACCTCATTAAAACCCCCTGCTCCACCTCACTACTCAGCACAAGCTCAGTGGCTGAGAGATCGTCAACAATAGTTTTAGTGTTGTGTTCGGCCTTTTGGTAGAAAACACGCTGTGGAGTTGTAGCAGCACAGAAAACAGACTTTGTGATTTACTGTCCTCTGTGTTACTCTGCAACATTTGGGCCTCACAAGAGTCCAGGCTAACACCACTTCATCAATGAACACTGTGTGCACTTGGCTTTAACTCCTTTACAGGCTTGCAGCATAACCGCTGCGTGTTACATTAGCGTAGGTTAACTGTTGGCATAAATGAGGTTGCTCTCACATCCTGTCACTTGCAGTCAAGGACCTGTTTGAAATCATTTCTTATGGCATACAAAAGTTTGCTTATATATGCACATATGACACGGAAGAGGAACAACTGCAGTTCCTCTAACCACCACCTGTGAAAGTGGAGTCAATGCTAATGCTAATAAAGAATTTAGCACTCCATCCTCTGGTCTAAATATCGTTACTACTGCCTCATTTAACAATAAATAAATATATAAAAGCTGGTGGCCACCTGTGCTACCCCCAGCCTCCTGGCCCATATGGAAAAGAAACAGAAAAAGCTTGTGAAAGACTTGCATCAGCTTTAGCTTGCTTCATATAGTGAATCATAGAAGGCTTATCCAAAACATACAAGTTTCATTTATATCATTTTTCTAGGGATCTTACATCTGTTTTCACTCTTGTGTACTTTTCATATAAGTTTCACGCAAGACAGATGCAAACTTTATAAGATTTATATATATATATTTTCCATATGGGGGTATTAATTTGAAAATCTTAGATTACTTCCTTCTTCAGTTATTGCATCAAGGTCTGGGTCACTGACATTAAAAGCAGGGGTAAAATAACCAAACTAAACAAAAAGCACATGGTAGCAACAACACTACGGTCACGGCGGTATT